AATTTTTGTATTTTTAGTAGAGACGGGGTTTCACCATGTTGACCAGGATGGTCTCGATCTCTTGACCTTGTGATCCACCCATCTCGGCCTCCCAAAGTGCCGGGATTACAGGCGTGAGCTACCGCGCCCAGCCAGTGTATTTCATCTTAAAGGGGCTTCCTAAAAATGCAAAACACCATGCCTTTATCTTATTGGCCACGTGACCACTTCTTGCACCCAAGGACGCTGAGAGAGACAGTCTATTAACTGGGGACATTGCCACCTAAATACAATTGTGGTTACTAAAGAAAAGTGGCAGATAGGTTTGCAGTAAGTCACCTCTGCCATAGCAATCTAAATTAATAAATTAAAAGAGGAAGTGACAGAGGCGTTTGAACCAGAGTAACTCCCTCTTGAACAGGAGCTGGGTAAAATGAGGCTGAGACCTGCTGGGCTGCAATCTCAGGAGGTGAAGGTTTCCAAGTCACAAGATGAGACAGGAGGTCGGCACAAGACCTTGCTGATGAAAGAATGCAGTAAAGAAGCCACTAACGCCCACCAAAACCACAAAGGTGACAAAAGTGACCCCTGGTGGTCCTCACTGCCACACTCCCACCAGCGCCGTTAACAGTTTGCGAATGCCATGGCAATGTCAGGAAGTTATACGGTCTAAAAAGAGGAGGCAGGAACAATCCACCTTTGTTTAGCATATCATCAAGAAATAACCATAAAAATGGACAACCAGCAGCCCTCAGGGCTGCTCTGTCTGTGGAGTAGCCATTCTTTTACTCCTTCATTTTCTTAATAACCTTGCTTTCGGGCCGGGCTTGGTGGCTCACGCCTGTAATCCTGGCACTTTGGGAGACTGAGGTGGGTGGATCACCTGAGGTCAGGAGTTCAAAACCAGCCTGGCCATCATGGTGAAACCCCATCTCTTTTTTTTTTCCCATTTATTTATTTGATTGCATTTTAGGTTTTGGGGTACATGTGAAGAACATGTAAGATTGTTGCATAGGTACACACGTGGCAGTGTGATTTGCTGCCTTCCTCCCCATCACCTACATCTGGCATTTCTCCCCTTGCTATCTCTCCCCAGCTCCCCACCCCTCACCGTCCCTCCCCTATTTTCCCCCAACTGACCCCAGTGTGTA